CCGCCACCGGCCCCCTCCGGTCGCCAGTCCCCCCGCCGCTGCCGCCGGCGCAGGGGAGAGCGAGTCGGCGCCGCCGCCGCCCCCGCCGAGCGGCAGCGCGAGAGCGCGCTGCGCCGAGTCGAGCAGGCCGAACGCGCCGCCCATCCCCCCCATCCCGCGCAGCCCGCTCCGCCCCCCTCCCCCCCCTCCGCCTCCCCCCCCTCCGTCGCCTCCGGCTCCGCGTGAGGAGCCGCCGCCGAACCCCCTCCCCCTCGCCGCCTCCTTCTTCGCCCGCGCCACGAGCGTGACCTGTTCACAGCAGTCGGTGTGAAGAGACGCCGCTCTTGCGCCTCCGTCTTCGCCCGCGCCGCCCGCGTGGCCGGCAAGGTCAGCTCGGCGCCATTCGCGACGGTGAGCACGGGGAGAGCCGCGGAGGCGGAGGCGGCGGAGGCCGAGGCGGCGGTGGCGTTGGCGGCGACGCGGTCGATGGACACACGCACCGGCGCACCGGTCTGGTTCAAGACCTGTGAACACAGCGGCTCTTCACACCTCTCGCTGTGAAGACGTGGCGCACCGGTCTGGTTCAAGACCCAGTACGGAGACAGGAGGAAGGCGCGCGACGCGTCCGAGCGGCGCACAGAGTCGGAGAGGACCTCGGCGGAGCCGGAGCCGAGCAGCGGCGCGAGGACGGAGACCACGTTGTGCGTCACGGTGATGTAGAGCGGCGACGTGCCCGCCCAGACCTTGAGGAGAGGAAGACTGGCCGTGAAAAAGAAACGACAAGGGCGTAGCGCGGCGACGTGCCCGCCCAGACCGTGAAGGCGGCAATCTCGGATACTCTCGGAAAATATAGGGCGATCTCGGGCAATCTCGGGCAATCTCGGGCCATCTCGCCCAGACCTTGAAGGCGACGGGCGCAACCTCGAGCGTCTCGCCGAGCATGTCTGTGTTGTACTGCGCCGGCACAACCAGCACGCGCAGCCCGAGCAGCGACGGCTCGAGGAGCGTCTCGAAGGCGTGCTGCTTCACCGAGTAGGACATCGCCTCGAGGGGGAGCTGCAGGTCGAGCTGCAGATTGCCGCGCCCGGTCTGGCGCAGGCCGGCGTACGCGTCGAGCACGCGCAGCCGCGCGAGAGGCATGTTTGGGCCGAGCGAGTGGTTCATGAGCGTGAGGTCCATCTGCGCCGCCACCACGTCCACCGTCACCTCGGTGCGCTCGAAGATGTCGGGCAGTGCGTGCGCACGCTTGCTCGCCGCCGCGGGCGGCGCGGGCGGCGGCTCCTCCGCCGCCGCCCCCTCCTCGCCCTGCGGCGGCGGCGCGATGCCGTAGGCCTGCAGCGGCTCCTGATCAGGGACGGTCCAGGGACGGTTCAGGGGCGGTTCAGAGAAGGCTCTGCAGATGCCGGTGGGCTTGCAGCGGCCTCCTGGAAGAAGTCGGCGAGGCGCGCCAGGAAGGGAGAGGAAGAGTCTCGGAAGTGTCTCGGAAGTGTCTAGAGAGTGCCTGGAAGAAGTCGGCGAGGTGCGCCAGGAATGGAAGGTGGACCAGCGCCTCCACGCCGCACACGTGCGCCGCCACCCGCACCGTCGGCCGCTCGAGCCGCGCTCCGCCCCCCGCCATCGGGGTGCCCCACGCCTCGGCGTGCGCCACGCACCCACTCGGCGCACCCATCGATCCGCGCACCGACGCTCGCCCCCCTTGCGGCGAGGTCGCCGGCTCGCCAGCCGACGAATGGCGCTGCCGCAGAGACACCTCGGTTCGCGGCAACGAGCCAAAAGTCAACAGCTGCTCGCCACACGACTAATGGAACCAATCACGGATCGCCAAGGGCTAGTCAAGAGACACCTCGAGCGCCAGCAGGCCGGTGTCGAGCGTGTGCGAGAGGTGCTCCCGCGCCGACAGCTGCCCGGCGCCACGGCCGCGCCCGCCGCCGCGCCCGCCGCCGCCCCCTCCTCCGCCGCCGCCGCGCGCGCCCGCGGCGGCGGTGTCGCGGCGTTCAAACGCCGCGGCGTGCCCAACGCCGTGCTGGCTGAATCGCGACGCCGCATGCAGCGCCTGCTGTCCCCAGGCCAAATGCTCGCCGAATGTGAGCTCGATGCCGCTCTCCTCCTCGCCGCCGCTGGAGTCGCTCGGCAGCGGCGCCGGAGGGACGGGCGGTCCTCCGCCGCCGCCCCTCCCCGCCAGCCACATGCCTCCGGGCATGCGGCGGGCGTGGAGCGCCTCGAGCGAGGAGAGCGCGGAGCGGGCGCCCGACTCGCGGGCGCGTTGCAGCATCTCGAGCTCATACGCGGACGGCTCAATGAGCGAGCCTACGCCGGAACCAGCGCGCGCAGTCAAAGAAGCGCGGGGGGGGGCGGCGAGACACAATCGGCCTCGAGGAGCGGGCCTCGCGCAGTCTGCCCGCCGGAGGCCTAGCGTCGGGCCATCTCGGGTCATCTCGAGCAATCTCGGGCAATCTCGCGCAGTCTGCCCGCGGAAGGCCTGCTTGAGCGTGGCGCGGTCTACGCTGGCCCTTGCGAGCGAGCTCGTGAAGAGCGACCTGTTCACAGCAACAGGTGTGAAGAGACGCTGTTCACAGCTGGCCCTTGCGAGCGAGCCCGTGAAGAGCGACCTGTTCACAGCTGGAGGTGTGAAGAGACGCTGTTCACACCTCCTCCCCCTCGCGAGGTGCAGGCCGACCCGCCGCGCCGCTCCGCCGTCGACTGGGAGTGGGAGCTGCTCGTCCGCATCCGCTGCGCCTGCTTGAGCTGGTTGAGGTTGATCGCGCGCAGCGCCTCCACCTTGGACGCGAGGTCGGGCAGACGGGCTTGCGCCGCCGCCGTCAGCGCCTTTGTGAACGGGTCGACGGGGACCCGCCTCTCCGACCCCCCCGCCCTCGCCACCTCCGGGCTATCGCCGTCACTTGCGCCCTCCCCCGACGCCCTCGCCTGCGCGGCGCCGCCGCGCCGCGTGCGCGCGCCGCCGCGCGCGCCGCCTCCGCCTCCGCCTCCTCCTCCCGCGGTGTACAGCCCCTCAACGAAACCAGGGCCGGTGGCGCCCTTGGCGGCGGAGGGGGAGCGCCGGAACCGGAGCCCGCCCCCGTCGATGATGGCGTCCGCGACGGTGGCGAGCGCGCGCAGCTGCAGCGGCGCCTCGCGATCGTCCGGCGGCTGCCACGCCTGCGTTCACAGACGGGGCGCTGTGAACGGCGCCTCTCCACAGCCTCGCGATCGTCCGGCGGCTGCCACGCCTGCGTTCATGAACGCAGCGAGGTCAGGGTGGCAGAGCGGAACAGCGCCGCGTATTCAGTGCACACACGCGGGCTAAGAGTGCAATGACCACCGCGGATCTCCGGAGCACGTGCCCTCTCGAGGGAAGCTTGGGAGACATGGACGCACGTGCAGCGTCTAGGCTGACGCGCCTCCACCAGCAGCCGCGTGCCGCACACACAGCCGTCGATGAGCGGGACGGAGCGCGGGGTGGCCGCGCGGGGCGCGTACTCCAGCCGCACCTCCAGCCGACCCAGCGACGCCTCGATGCGGTACTTGCACCTCTCCTCCCGCAGCCGCTGCCTCCTTCTCCGCCCGGCGGCAGTCTCCGCTCCGCTGGCGCCGCGCGACAGCGAGTTCGAGCCGCCTATTCACAGCAGCGGGTGTGAAGAGAGGCGCTCCTCACGCTGACCGAGCCGCCCGGCCACAACGCGAGCCAAGTCCGGAGCGCTGCAGCAGCGACGTGTTGCGCGCCCCCACGCCCGCGCGCAGCTCGTCGTGCAGCCGCACCGCCGCGGCGAGCAGCGGGTCGGCGGGGCCGGAGACGAGCGCGTCGACGGCCGCCGCGGCGGCCTCGCCTCCCTCCATGACGGCGCTCAGGCCCTGCCGCAGCATCCCGGGCTGTTCACAGCAGAGGGTGTGAAGAGGCGCTGTTCACACCCCATCGCGGGGCGAGGACTGCTTCGCGCCTGTTCACAGCAGAGGGTGTGAAGAGACGCTGTTCACACCTCGTCGGGCAGTGCCGCAGCTTCCCCGCCCGTGGCGTCATCGGCAGCATCGTGCGCGACAGCCCCACCCCACTCCGCACCGCCGCCGCCGCCGCCGCCGCCGCCGCGCCCGCCGCCGCGCCGGCCGCGCCGGGGCGGGGCGTGGCGGAGGGGGTGGAGGGGGCGGAGGTTGGCGGCGCGTCGCCCCTCGCGTCAGGGGAGGAGGGGCGGCTCGGGTCGCGCAGGTCTGCGCCGAGCGCGAGTAGCTCCGCCCTCGCGTCGTGAACTTGCACGTCGGTCGCCTCCGAGACATGAAGATGGCGCGACAGCAGCGCGCACAGGCCGACGCCCTCGCGCCGCCCAACCACCTCCTCCAAGTGTAGCTCCTCCTCCTCCTCCCCCCGCCGGTCGTGGATGGTCGCCAGGAACTGCGACGCAGCGGCGCTCAGCTCGGCAAACCCCGCGCCGCCGCCGCCGCCGCACGACCCCGCGCTTCGGACCGAGCTCTTGCAGCTGCCTCGGTCGCAGCTGCCGAAGGAGGTCACGCGGCGCCGCGCCACATCCGCACTCCCCACCGACCGGCACTCCGCCGCGCTCTGCTGGCCTCGCTCGCTGCTGTCCACGCTGACGGAGCGGCGGCCGACCGAGCCGCCTACTCACAGCAGCGGGTGTGAAGAGACGCTCTTCACGCTGACCGAGCGGCGGCTGACCGAGCCGCCTACTCACAGCAGTGGGTGTGAAGAGACGCTCTTCACGCTGACCGAGCGGCGGCTGACCGAGTCGCCGGCGAATGAGGCGCGGCCGGCGACGTCTGCGCTTCCGACGGACCGGCCGACGAGAGACGGTCGCGCACCTGACGGGTTGGGACACGGCTCACTTGTTCACAGCGCGGGGGGGTCCGTTGCCTTCCGCTGCACATGCCGAGGCCGCCGGGCAAGGGGCGTGTGCTGTGAATAGCAGCTGTGAACAGCAGGGGTGGTCTCTACTCGCCAGGCAAGGGGCGTGTGCTGTGAATAGCAGCTGTGAATAGCAGGGGTGGCTCTACTCGCCAGGCCGCGCACCGCCGGGCCCCCATCGCGAGAGGCGGACGGAGCAAGACCTAAAAAAGAAACCGCAAGTTAACCAAGAACTCACCCGGCCCCCATCGCGAGAGGCGGACGGAGCAGGACCTAAAAAGAAACCGCAGGCTAACCAAGAACTCACCCGGCCCCCATCGCGAGAGGCGGACGGAGCAGGACCTAAAAAGAAACCGCAGGCTAACCAAGAACTCACCCGGCCCCCATCGCGAGAGGCGGACGGAGCAGGACCGCGCGTCGAGGGGCGAGGTCGGCGACCTGCATAAGTAATGAAGCGATCTCCGCAAGTAGTCTCCGTTTAACTCAGCGGCGCGGTCGGCGACCTGGGCGGCTGGTGCGAGTACCGCGCCGAGAAGCGCTCCGTGTTTGGGTCTGTCTGCACGGCCGAGTAGGCGATCGCGCCGAGCGCCTGGTCCCAGACCGTGGTAGTGAGACGAGACTGTCTCTTCTGGCGCTGCGCGCCGGTCTGTGAGAGGGAGGGGCGCGAGCCCTGCCTGAAGGGCACGGCGGCGAGGGGTGTGAAGTGCCACTGTGCTGTCGTCGCCGTCTCTCCCTTCTCGACGGTCTGTGCTCGTGCGTCTTTGGCCCGCGGCTGTGTGGTTGCGTGAAGCGTCGCTGTGCTGTCGTGCGATTCCGGGCTGTGCTGGTGTGCGAGGAGCCGCCGTCCCCGCGGCGCGGCGGAGTGCGCTGAGATCGGAGGAGGTGTGGCCGAGATCGGCCGAGATTGCAGGAGGTGCGCCTGTGGTTGATTAAAGGGAGACTGCTTGACTACAGGGAGATTACATCATTAAGCGCCTGGTTGCCCGCCCTGCGCTTAAGGAAAGGGAGGCTGCTTGATTACAGGGAGATTACATCATTAAGCGCCTGGTTGCCCGCCCTGCGCTTAAGGAAAGGGAGGCTGCTTAACTACAGGGAGATTACATCATTAAGCGCCTGGTTGGCCGCCCTGCGCTTAAGGAAAGGGAGACTGCTTGATTACAGGGAGGATTACATCATTAAGCGCCTGGTTGCCCGCCCTGCGCTTAAGGAAAGGGAGACTGCTTGATTACAGGGAGGATTACATCATTAAGCGCCTGGTTGCCCGCCCTGCGCTTAAGGAAAGGGAGGCTGCTTGATTACAGGGAGGATTACATCATTAAGCGCCTGGTTGCCCGCCCTGCGCTTAAGGAAAGGGAGGCTGCTTGATTACAGGGAGGATTACATCATTAAGCGCCTGGTTGCCCGCCCTGCGCTTAAGGAAAGGGAGGCTGCTTGATTACAGGGAGATTACATCATTAAGCGCCTGGTTGCCCGCCCTGCGCTTAAGGAAAGGGAGACTGCTTAATTACAGGGAGATTACATCATTAAGCGCCTGGTTGCCCGCCCTGCGCGGCGCCTTCTCGCTCCCCTTCTTGTCGAGGTTGCCTCTCCGCCCCGCCAAGCCCGCCGCCCGAATCGTCGCCTCCGCCTTGGAGAAGCGATCGCGCGGCCCGCCGCCGCCTAGTGAAGCAACTCGTACTCGCTTAGTGATTCACTCAAGGGAGGAGATCGCGAGGAACCGCCGCCGCCGCCCTCGCTGCCGCCCGCCGCGCGCAGTGCGACCGGGCTGCCCCCGCCGATGGCGGCGTGGAGCTGCGCCTGAATGAGCATTCCATCAACGTGCGGTTCATCAGCTGCTCGTCCATTGCCCAACTCGTCCGCGGCGTGCAGCTGCGCCTCCGCCTTCGCCGCCTCCTCCCGCTTCAGCGCAAGGAGCCGCTCCCTTGCCTGCGCCAGCACCGCCTCGTCCGACCGCTGGCTCGCCCACCTCCGTAATCAAGCAGAAACCTCGTCTAATCTCGTGGAATCTCGCCTGATCTCGCCTACTCTCATCCGCCCGCTGGCTCGCCCACCTCCGCCGCTGCCGCGCCGCCGAGTACGCCGCAAGCTCGCCGTCGCCTCCGCCTGATCAATGAACCCTGATTAGTTAATCATTAAGCTAAATGACGCGCCGCCGAGCTCGCCGCAAGCTTGCCTCCGCCTCCGTGCGCGTCCTCTGGCGGCAGCAGCTCCAGCCGCACCCGGAGCCTGAAGATCGATTGCGCGCAGCATTGGTGATTAGGACTGCGGCCACCGCTCGTCTCTCAAGACGCTGACGTGCATCGAGATAGGGGGAGATACGGGGAGATACGGGGGTAGGGAGAGATACGGGGAGACACGGGGAGATAAGGGATAGATAGAGGGAGATAGGGGGAGATGGGGGGAGATACGGGGAGATAGGGGGAGATAGGGGGAGATAGGGGGAGATAGGGGGAGATAGGGGAGATAGGGGGAGATAGGGGGAGATAGGGGGGGGTTCCCGCTTCTAGAGCCCCGGAGCCGTCCCGCCGAGCTCACCGCCACGCCGGCAGGCCGGGCGACATCAGTGGGGGGGGTGAGGAGGAGGGGGCGGTCGAGGTCGGCGAAGCGGAGCGGGTAGTCGACGAGGCTGTCGAGCGGGAGCAGCGTCTCGCCGATCACGTCGTCGCTGGAGAGCGTGTCGCCATCGAGCACGAGAAAGTGAAGCACCTGTGTGGTTGTCCGTCCGTCAGTGCTACACACGCCCCTGGCACGGACGACGGGGCACACGCACTCGCGGAACACACACGGGGCGGTGTGTGTGTTCTCAGGGAAGGGCATCGCCACAGACAGAAATAGTCAGAGGGGCAGCCGGGTGGGGATCCCCGCTCACGGCCTGGGTTGTTGTTAATTTGAACTAATTAGGGCGCCAGCAGCAAGGGGTGGGAATGGTTGTTAATGAATCAACTGACACGTGATTAACAAGCGATGGCCAGAGTGTCGAGGAAGCGCAGCACCTGCTCCAGCGAGGTGCGTGTGCTGTGAATAGCAGCTGTGAATAGCAGCTGTGAATAGCAGCTGTGAATAGCAGCTGTGAATAGCACCTGCTCCAGCGAGGTGACGCGGAGCGAGAACTCCTCGTGCCTGTCCACAGCAGAGGGTGTGAAGAGACGCTGTTCACACCCCATCGCGGGGCGAGGACTGCCTCGCGCCATAGCGGCGCGGTCGAGCGCGGCACCACGCGCGTACGCGCCACCTCGTCGCTGCCCCCGAGGTACACCTAAGGTAAGGTAAGGTACGGTCAACTTCTCCACACACACACAGGGGGGGGGGGGGGGGCATCGCGTCTCCACGTCTAGACGACAGGAGCCCCGCGGCATCACAAGTGCAAGGGCCCAGTGCGCGTGGGTGAGGTGTGTGAGTGTGTAGACCTGCACGTACGCGTCGTTGGTGCCACCAGCGTCCCTCGCCTGTTCACAGCAGCGGGTGTGAAGAGGCGCTGTTCACACCCGTTGGTGCCGCCCGCGTCCCTCGCCTGCAGAAGCCAAAAGCGTCTCACACCAAAGAAATACGTGCGCGGAGTGCCACCCATCTCCCTCGCCTGCAGAAACGAAGTGCAACTGCGAAAAAAGAACTCCGTGCGGGGCGTGCCACCCCTCTCCCTCGCCGTCAGATCGGTCGCCGCCTCGACAAGAACCCGCAAGGTTGCGACGGCGGGGGGGCGGGGGGCGGCGAGGGAGAGGGTGTGGAGCCGAAAGACGCCGGCGCCGCGCCGGCCCCACCTGGTCGGTCAGTTCAAGAGGCGTCACTACTTATGAATTCTTAGCACACCCGCGCTGCGCCGGCCCCACCCTAGCTTTGGGGTGGCGCGACGGCGGTACGCGTCGGCGCCGCCGTAAGCAGCGGAGACGCGAAGCTCCTGAGGCGGGGAGGGATGGGGAGAGATGGGGAGATCGGATGGGGAGAGATGGGGAGATCGGATGGAGATGGGGAGAGAGGGGGAGAGAGGGGGGCAGAGGGGGACAGATGTGGCAAAGATGGGCAGAGAGTGGGACAGATGGGCAGAGATGGGGAGAGAAGGGGAGAGATGGGGTAGGGTAATGGGTAGGGTAATGAAAAGGGGAACGGGTAAGGGGTAGGGTTAGGGTTAGGGTAAGGGGTAGGGTAAGGGGTAGGGTAAGGGGTAGGGTTAGGGGTAGGGGTAGGGGTAGGGGTAGGGTAAGGGGTAAGGTAAGGGGTAAGGTAAGGGGTAAGGTAAGGGGTAAGGTAAGGGGTAGGGGCAAGGGGCGGGGTTAAGGTTAAGGTTGGGTTTCCTCGATGGTCAGCTCGAGCTCGGCCATCTTGCGCCACAGCACGAGCTCCTAAATGCAATGACTCGAAAGAGTAACTGAACCGACTCAGCTCGGCCCTCTTGCGCCACAGCACGAGCTCCTCCGACGGCGTCTCGTCCTCGATCTCTCGCACGGCGTGCCAGCAGAGGACGCCCGCCGCCGCACCCACCGCAGCGCAGAGCGATCCCTACCCAAACAGCTCGCTCTGCCATTGTGCGGCAGGTTGTGGGTGGGGCGCGCGGAGTGAGCGAACGCCGCCTAATTCAGAGTGCGCCGTGTGCCCTTGTGTGCTGCAACGCGTTGTGAGTCGACGCCGCGTCCAATTCGAGGAAAGCGAGATATGGGGGAGATACCGGGGAGGTATGGGGAGGTATGGGGAGATATGGGGAGATCGACGCCTCGTCCAAGTCGAGAAAGGCGGAGGCTGCGCCGCCCTCGCCCCCTCCCGCGTCCGCCCACCGTTCCTCGCACAAATCCCAGAGCGCGTGCCTAGGAACACTCACTCATTCTTAACCTCCATGCGCGTCCGCCCACCGCCCCTCTCGCACAACTCCCAGAGCGCGCGCCCGCCCTTGCCGCCGCCGCCGCCGCCCCTTCCGCCGCCGCCGCGCTTGCCGCCGCGTCCGCCCGTGCCGCCCGCCTCGCCGGCAAACACCTCCGCCATCCTCGCCGCCGCTACCTCGTTGTCCTCGCCAGCTGCCGGCAGACCTAGCGCCGCCGCCGCCGCCGCCGCCGCCCCCGCGGCGGCGGCGGCGAAGCCAGGCGCCCCTCCCCCCGCGGTGCCGGCGGCGAGGGCGGCGAGGAGGGGCGCGGCGTCCCCCGTGTCCTGCCGCCAGGGAAACCACTCCGGTTAGCTCAATTAGTCAAGATCACTACGAAATACTCCCCGTGTACTGCCGCGAGAGAAGCTCATTGAGTTCGTTTCGCTGATTGAGTAGTTAATTAATCAATCCCCGTGTCCTGCCGGGAGAGAAGCCAATTCAATCAGACTGAGCTTGATTTAATAAAGCTCTAGTTCGTCTCTCCTGCCGCGAGAGGAGCTCCTCGAGCAGCCGCACGCTCAGCGGCGCCGCCGACGCCCAATCCTACGTCAGCAAATCAATTCAAATGACGATGTGGGCCGGTGAACTCACTAATACCGTTGGTTGGAGAGACGGCGGAGTCCGTGTCCTCTCGGGCGCTAGCTCGAACGCAAGGATACGTCTTCCGCGTCTGAAGCGTCCGATCCTCCAGCGACACGCCGGCCGCGGGGTCGGCGGCGGCGGCGGTGCGCGCAGACATCGGCAGAGCGCAGTCTGGGGCGGCGGAGGCCTCCACCGACCTCTCGGCCTGCCTGTGCCCCGAAGGCGGCGGCCGCCACGGCATGCCTCGCACGTGCTTGACCAGCAGAACATACGCCTGGGCAGCCGAGATCGCCCGAGATGACGCGAGATTGCCCGAGATTGCGCCGCACGTGCCGGGCCAGCGGGAGCGACGCCTGCCGCACGCGGCGCTTGCGCAGCAGCCCGCGCCACGAGCCTACAGACAAGGCTTCATTCATTAGACAGTGAAGCAACTGCTTACCTCCCCGCGCCACGAGCTGCGGACTCGGGATGTGAACGAATTACTTGTCAATGAATCTCCCCATGTCGTCAGTTGGCACTTAACTAAAGATTAATTACTTAGTCCCTGCCACGAGCCTGCAGACTCTTGACGCAAGTCGAGCAGCACGCACTGCAGCGCGTACCTAGTTAGCAATTGATTCATCGCTGAGTAAATACTCAGAGTCAGAGCAGCACGCACTGCAGCGCGTACCTAATTCATGCACTTCCATTCCTGATTTGCGGCGAGGTCACTTCACCAAGCGCGCACCGCAGCGCGTACCGCCACATGGCCGCTGCAGAGCCGCGCTTGAGGCGGGACGGCCGCTCGGACGGCGGCACTAGCGAGGGGTTGCCTAATTAATTATTAATTAAGTACTTAATTAGTAATCACGCTAGCCGCTCCGAAGGCGGGACTAGCGAGGGGTTGCCTCGGTAGCGCGTCCAGAGGCCGAACCGCGCAAAGTAGGCGGAGAGGGAGGCGAGGTGCGCCTGGGGTTAGGGGTAGGGGGTCAGGTAAGGGTCAGGTTTGGGGTGAGTCAGAGCAGGCGGAGAGGGAGGCGAGGTGCGCCTGGGGTTAGGGGTAGGGTTAGGGTCAGGTCTTAGGGTGAGTCAGAGTGAGCGGAGAGGGAGGCGAGGAGCGCCCATTGGCGCTCATCCAGCACTAGCTCCACGTCCGACGCCTCGACCTGTTCACAGGTCGGCGTGTGAAGAGACGCCGTTCACAGCCCGACGCCCCACGTCCGACGACGCCTCGACCTTAACGTCGGCTTGCGGCGGCGCCTCCGCCGTCGCTCGGCGACCGCCGTCGAGCATCGGCAGCAGCGCAGCGCGGATGTCCACCGAGGTTGGCTCGAGGACATGCTTGACCAGCGCCTCGCGGCCGCCCGACCGCTGCGTGATCATCGCCAGCAGCAGCCGCCGGTTGATCTCGTCGGCGAGATCCATCGACCAGCGGTCGGACGACTTTTTGTTCGAGTAGAAGGCGAGTGCGTCGCACTTGACCTGGCGGTTGGAGGAGGAGGACACGTTGCCGTCCTTGCCGCGCGACACGTTCCTCCACACCTGCTTCCACTGCTCGTCGCACGTGCGTACGGTCAGCCGCCGGATGGTCAGGCCGATGGCGGTGTGCAGCTCGGGCGCCAGCCGCGAGTCGTCGTCCTCGTACCTAGTCTCGGGCAATCTCGGGTGATCTCGGGTGATCTCGAATCACCAGCCCGCGGGCCCTCGTCTCCGGAACCGCAGGTGCAGGTCCGAGATCGACACTTGGATGTTGTCGATGATGGTTTGGATGTCGATGATCGAAGAGCCTCGCTTCTTCGCGTCGTCCTTCCCCGCGCGCTTGGAGGAGGAGGAGTCGCCGCCCTGCTCCGCCAGCCGCTCCGCAATCTCCGCCGCCTGCGCGCTCAGAATCGCGTCCGCCTTTGCCTTTCTCATGTTGGAGATGGCGCGGTCTCGGTCAAAGTTGCGGATCGGCCCGGCGACCACGTAGAGCTCGTGGAGCACCAGCTGCACCGGCTTGTTGTTGAAGTTGCCGATCGGGAGCGAAACCTCCAGCCGACCGACACGCCCAGACTTGACGGCGATTGGGAGGCCGAAACGCTCAAAAGCCGTCTCGCGCACGCGGACGTTTTCGAGCAGCACATTTCCCCAACCCGGCGTCTTGTAGGTTGCGTCGTCGAAATAGATGTAGTCCGAGAGCACTGCGCGAAGCTGGTCCTGCACCAGCTGCTTCAGCATGGCCTTGCCAGCCCGGCCGGAGCCAGCACGGCAGAGCCGAAGCCGGTCGGCTCTGCAAGGTCGTTCCTCAGACGAACTGCCCGCAGTCCACAGAAAAAAAGAATTCTAGGCGCGCCCGTCTCACTACTAGTTACAGGAGTGATAGCTTTACTTAGTCTTTGCTCGCGTCGGCGCCGCCGAGCGCTGCACGGAGAGCATATTCACTGACCACCAACGACAGGTGTGCGACTACGCGCTCGTCTACGCGGAGAAGAAGAACGACGGCGACGCGCCGTACTCGGTCTCCTTCACCGCGACGCAGAGCGGCGACGTCATTGTGCAGCTCCACCCGCACTCACAGCTCGAGCGCGCGGTCCGCCATGAGCGGCAGGCGCAGGCCACGGAGCCGCCGCGAGCGCGAGCCCTGCGGCGCCGCCAGCCCCTGCCGCCGAGCCGCCAGCTGCGGAGCCGGGGGGGGGGGTACGGGGCATGGAGGGGGAGAGGAAGAGCAAGGGCGAGAGAGGGCAAGGGACTGGGCGCTGGCATACCAGGGGGGGCAGGGTGGTGGGCGGCGACCGCCGCATACCGTCCTACGGCGGGGACTATCGCTACGCCAGGGAAGACAAGGGCGTCGAAGTGCAGCTGCTGCTGTTCGAATCGTTCGGCGGGTTCGGAAAGGGGGTCCGTGAGATCCTCCGGAGAGCGGCGGACGTGCTACAGAACAAGCTGACGCGGGCCCAGTACCTCGATGAGGTGACTTGGACCACCAAGAGCTGGCTGGGGCTGCAGAAGCAGCGCATCTCAGTCGTTCTTCACACGGCCATCGCAGAGCAGGTCGTGAATGAGCTTGCCTGTGGCGGGGGTGGGCGGGTGCACGGAGCTAAGTGCCTCGCCACCCTCGCAGGAGTCGCTTAGGCGGCTCCCGTGGTGTACCTGTGTTAGTGCCAGTGCGCGCCAGTCCCGTGCCCAGTGTTGTGCGAGGGAGTTTCGTTGTAAGATTCTCAAAAAGTCGGAGCTAAGTGCCTCGCCACCCTCGCAGGAGTCGCTTAGGCGGCTCCCGTGGTGTACCTGTGTTGGTGCCAGTGCGAGCCAGTCCCGTGCCCAGTCCTGTGCCCAGTGTCGTGCGAGGGAGTTTTTTGAAAATTCTCAAAAAGTTGTAACGCGCCGACGCAGCCGGCAGACGCCCTCCCCTCCGCCCCCGATCTCGGCGTGAGCGAGACGAAACTGGAGCCGCCCAGCCCTCCCGCCGTCGAACTCGACGTCCCGACGCCCGCCGACACCGCCGCGCCGACGCAGCCGGCCGCCGCCTTCCCCTCCGCCACCGATCTCGGCGTGAGCGAGGGGAAGCTGGAGCTGTGGCGCAAGCGCGGCGGCGGCGACCTCGAGCCGGTCCTCGCGAGCAGCGCCGTCGCCGTCCTCGACGCGCAGTGGGTCATCAGCCACGCCGAGGCGGGCGGCGTCCTCACCCACCGTCAGGCGCTGCCCAAAGAGGCCTTCCTCTCTTTCGCCGACCTCGTCGAGGCGACCGGCGAGTATGGCTACCTTCCCGTCGCCGCGCTCTCCTACCCGTGGCTGACCAAGGACCACCCCGACCCGCGCGGAGCCAACCTCGCCCGCGTCGCGAGGGCGCTCAAGGCCCTGCTCAGCGACCATCCCGTGTTCGGCAAACCCGTCAACCCGCGGCTCGGCGTCTTTTGGGACTTCGGCTCGCTGCACCAGCACCCCGACCCCCCCAACGGCGTCCTGCGCACCGAGGAGCAGAACGCGCTCTTCAAGCAGGGGCTGAGCTGCCTCGGCACGCTCTACTCCCACCCGAAGACATACGTGCTGCGGCTGACCTCCTTCCCGGACGGCCACAAGGCGGAGGACCAGGCCGAGGGCACCAACGTGGCCAAGTACTTTGACCGCGGCTGGTGCTCCACCGAGAACGCCTGGGCCAGCCTGACAAAGGCCGGCCAGCTCTCCCTAGACCTCGGCAAGATGCGCGCCGGCGTGGAGTACGGCTACGGCAGCCTCATCGACGACTGCGTCCAGGACGGCGGCCGGCGCCCTCCGCTGCTGCCGTCTGCGTTCGCGGCGGAGCTGGAGAAGAAGAGCTTCACCAACGGCAAGGACGACAAGCCGCTGGTGAAGCAGCTGTACGAGGCCGCCTTCAAGGAGCAGTTTGGCAAGGCGACCGTGCTGAACTACCGCGGCCTCGGCTGGGGCGACGCGGAGGCGGCGCAGCTGGCGGAGGTCCTCGCGAGCGGGGCAGCGCCGCGGCTCGAGAGGCTCGAGCTCCAGCGCAACAAGATTGGCGACGAGGGCTGCAAGGCGCTGGCCGCCGCCCTCGGCAAGGAGGGGGCAGCGCCGCGGCTCGAGACGCTCTCTCTCGGCGAAAACAAGATTGGCGACGAGGGCTGCAAGGCGCTGGCCGCCGCCCTCGGCAAGGAGGGGGCAGCGCCGCGGCTCAAGGAGCTCTATCTCTTCTGCAACGAGATTGGCGACGAGGGCTGCAAGGCGCTGGCCGCCGCCCTCAAGGAGGGGGCCGCCCCGAGCTTGAAGGCGCGAGACGCCCCCCTCGCCACACGCCCCTCCCCCGCCCAATGCTCATCGCACCTCCCCTCGCGTGCAGTATCTCTTCGTGGACAACAGGGAGCAGCCTGAGCTGGTGGCCGTGTGCGAGGAGCGCGGCATCGAGCTCGGCTGAGCCTCTCCAGCCCCGGCCGGGCGGCAAGGGCGCGGGGCCCGGCGGGACCGCCGCGCGAGCAAGGCAGAGAGCAACAGACCCTGCGGCTGCGGAGCACGACGCACAGCGGCGGTGGGGGGGGGGTGTCTGCGTCTCTCGGCGCGCTTCGGCCGCTTGGGACAAGAGCGTCGGAGCGGGCAAGAGGGCGGGGGAGGGGGAAGTGGGGTCAGGGTCTGGTTGGGCGAAAGACACACGGGGGAATAGATGATGCAGACCGGGGACATCGATGGCCATTCGGATTGGCGTGTTGCACGTTATAGTGCACGTGTGACTGTGAGCACCGCCGCGGGGGGTCCGGGGAAAGCGGTTTGGGGAGGGGTGTCGATTTGCACAAACGGGACACCTGAATCTTTTGTTTTAGTCAGCTAGCTTACGCTTTATGGCGCATCCACTGGGCCGTCTGGGCGCTGGGGCCGCGCTCTCCCCACTCCCGGTCTCAATCCCCACAGACCCCACCATCCCGTCGGACGGGCCTGCGTAGACAGTAAAACACGTAACCACACTCAGAGCTCCACACTAGCCGGTATAGGCGAGCCCCGGAGGCCTCACCGTCACCGCTCGCGGCGGAGCCGACGGCGGAGCCACGGGCCGGTGCGACCTTTTGGGGGCCCATGAGCTCGCCGGGACGACGCCGATGGCTCGGCGCGCCTCTTCCCGCCAGCGTTAAACGGCCTACACACAGGGGCGAGGGGGGGGGAGACGGAACTGAGCCCTAGGTTCGTGATCCCGTCGCCGGCAAGGGCTGGGACAGGGGCGGCAAGCGACGGGCGGGTCCGCGACCTTTTGCGAGCGCCCATGAGTTGTTGTAGAGATTTCACGTTGTAGAGCGCCTCTACATCGCTCTACAACGGAGGCAGTTCGTCACGCGGTGGATGTAGAGCTCTACAGCTCTACATTGCTCTACAGCGCTCCAGAGCGCTCTACATCTCTACAGCTCTACAGCGCTCTACACTCTACATCCTCTACACCCTCCCTCAGCATCGGCGTCGCCGCGCGAGCGGCGCCGCCACTGCGCTTGTGAGTCCGATGCGCGAACGAGTCTTATCGCGAGTAGAGTCGTTACGCGTTTTCCTTCACACTTGTTTTATTTTCAGAAGCGTCATTGCGGACGTCTTACTCTGTACGCGAGGTCTCGTCTTCGAGAGACCTCTCCCCCTTTTGGACGCGCCGGGCCGAATAAATATTCCGTCCTTTGTTCGCGTGCGCTCACGCGGTGTAGAATTTTAGTGCCCATCGGCGAGATCTAGCCGAGATACAGCCAAGAAAAGAAAAGAGGCTAGCACGCTCGCTCCGCCATCGGCGAGATCTAGCCGAGATACAGCCAAGAATCTTACAACAAAACTCCCTCGCACAACACTGGGCACGGGACTGGCGCGCACTGGCACTAACACAGGTACACCACGGGAGCCGCCTAAGCGACTCCTGCGAGGGTGGCGAGGCACTTAGCTCCGTGCACCCGCCCACCCCCGCCACAGGCAAGCTCATTCACGACCTGCTCTGCGATGGCCGTGTGAAGAACGACTGAGATGCGCTGCTTCTGCAGCCCCAGCCAGCTCTTGGTGGTCCAAGTCACCTCATCGAGGTACTGGGCCCGCGTCAGCTTGTTCTGTAGCACGTCCGCCGCTCTCCGGAGGATCTCACGGACCCCCTTTCCGAACCCGCCGAACGATTCGAACAGCAGCAGCTGCACTTCGACGCCCTTGTCTTCCCTGGCGTAGCGATAATCCCCGCCGTAGGACGGTATGCGGCGGTCGCCGCCCACCACCCTGCCCCCCCTGGTATGCCAGCACCCAGTCCCTTGCCCTCTCTCGCCCTTGCTCTTCCTCTCCCCGAGAGACCACTCATATCGCTGTTGCGGGGCGGCAATGTGACTGGACTCGCCGTGCGCGCCCAGCTAACCCTAGCCACCAGCCTACGCCATACCCAGGTACGGTCGTACCTGTCTCTCCACTTAGTCATCCCAACACCTCAGGCAACCGCGCGGCTGCGCTACACTCACAGGCAGTCTCCCTGCCTCAGCTGTTACAGGCACCACCCACCGACCAGTCTCGACGACGAGCCGTGGCAGGGCTCGCTGCGCCAGCTGCACAGCAGTACGCCACAACACAACATATTATCCAACATAACTTCTCCCTGACAGAGTGCCCTACCCTTGCGGGCTCAGTTGCCGCATTAGGAGCCTTCGCACCGCGAGTGGGCTCAGGTGGGATCCACACAGAGAGAGGTTCAGTACAGAGCCGCACTCTACACACACCTTATCCCCCTACTCGGGCGGCATCGTGGTGAGACCCTGGGCAGTCAGAGAGGCTGACAGTAAGTGGCGGGCTGAGAACTCGGGCCTCTCCCGACCCGCCATCGCTGCCTACGGGAGGATCCTATCGGCCACTAGACCATGACAGATCAGAGGCGCACACGCCCTGTCCCAGCTCCCCCACTCCTCACACTGGGTTTGCAGTGCGCGGCCTCGCCACCTCCCTACCAGGGCAAACCCCCTCTCTCCCCCTAGGTGCTGCACTTGACGTCCATAGAAGGCGCGCGGCAGAGGCGGGAGGGAGGCGGGGAGAATCTAGCTCGCTCTGGCAGGGAGGCAAGGGTGTGACAGAGTGCTTGGGTGAGAACAGGCGGAGTGTGTGTGCCTGTAAGGTACGCGATTGGGAGAGCACTTGTGACGAGGCACGGTTAGGCGAGTGGCGGGGATACTCTAGGAATGCGACCCGCACATTCTAAAAAAAATTGTTCCAGTCTTAGCAAGCAAAAAGGAGCACACACGACTTAGCAAGTCCGCACCAGCGACTGCCACTTCTTTCCCCGCTTCTTTCTTTCTGACGCAGTTTGTGTGGTCTGCAGGACAGTTTGTCGGAGCTCTCTTTCCATGAAAAGTGTACACTGCTTCCCCGCGGCATGGGCACTGTACGGAATGCTTCCCCGCGGCATGGACACTGTACGGAAATATACGTACGTGGGCTGGCTACTTGCCGGGTCGCTCGCCAGCCGAGGGCCGCGCATGCCTGATATCGCCGATGCCAGAGCGCCACCTCTTCACGCGACGGCGGCGAGGTGGAGCCTCCCTCGCCACTGGCTCCCTAGCTGGCACCGGCACCGGCGTGGCCAAGAGGCGCGGCGTGCTCTCACTGCTGTGCCTCCCACAGGGCGAGGTAGGTGCCGCCCAGCTCGAGCAGCTCCTCGTGCGACCCTTGTTCGATGACCGCGCCCTTGCGCAGCACGGCGATCTTGTCCGCGTTCTTGATTGTCGAGAGGCGGTGTGCAATGGTGACCGTCGTCCGCTTGTGCTGCGACACGATACTGTCCAGCGCCGCCTGCACCACCCGCTCGCTCTCATTGTCCAGCGCCGACGTCGCCTCGTCCAGCAGCAGCACCGCCGGCTTGCGAACAATGGCGCGAGCAATCGCCACCCGCTGCTTCTGGCCGCCCGAAAGCATGCCTCCGCGGAGACCCACCTGCGTGGCGTAGCCGTCGGGCAGGCTGTCCATCACAAAGCCGTGCGCGTTCGCCGCCCGCGCCGCCTCCTCGATCTCGTCTTGCGAGGCGCCCTCCTTGCCGTAGCCAATGTTCTCCGCGACGGTGCCCTCGAAGAGCACCGGCTCCTGCCCCACCAGCCCAAGCTGGGAGCGGAGCCAGCGCAGGTTGAGCGTGCGGATGTCGACACCGTCGAGGGTGATCGCGCCGCGCTGCGGGTCGTAGAAGCGCTCGAGCAGCGCGACGAGAGTCGACTTGCCGCTGCCGGACGGGCCGCACAGCGCCACCGTCTGCCCCGCGCCGATCGAGAGGGAGTAGCCGTGGCAAATGGTGAAGTCGGGGCGGGTGGGGTACGCAAAGACCACGTCGACAACCTCGATTGCGCCGGTGACGCTGTCGAGCGTGGTACCGGCCGTCGAGAAGGAGTCGATTGCAGGCACGCGGCGGATGGTCTGCAGAATCGCGACGCCGGCCTGCCGCCCCTTTGCGATGATGTTGACGGGCTGGCCCACGTTGCCGAGACCCTGGGCGCCGTTCTGGAGCGCAAAGATGGCGAGCAGCACGGCCGCCGGGAGGACGGCGCAAGTCCAGCCGCCCGTCTGCTGCTCGAAGTACGAGCGGAAGGAGGCGTCGTCGAGGAGGGCGGGCTGGCCGGGCACCTCGAGGAAGGTGAGCGGGCTGCTGTCGCTCGACGAGAAGGAGAGCGTGGCCCACCTGCGCCGCGAGCACCCGCCGTGTATTCAGACCATCGCGTGAATGCATCGGGGTTGTGCGTTTGCGTGAATGCATTGGCTGCGGTGCAGTGAATGCGGCTGAGCTCCATACAGCGCCTCTCCCCTAGTCGAGATTCGGCATCTGGCGCGGCTCACGCGTCCGCGTCGAAGAGGCCCGAGGAGACGGTCAGATCCGCCGTGAAGCACGTCCAAGTCAGCACCTTGGCGCCAAAATCTGCGCAGCTGCGCGGCGTGGCCGGCGAGAGGGTGTTGTGGTTGTAGAGCGCGAGCGTGGTGTTGTAGTCGGCGTTGGCCTACGCCAAAGCAGAACGCCGCATCAAGCATCAACGATAGGAACGGACGGGAGACACTTTGGAGATGGACGGTGGCCAGGTTGTACTCATCGCACGGCTTGGCGCAGAGCTGCAGCGTCGTGTTGAACCCGCCCGCCGTCCGGACGAGGAAAGAGTGCTGCATCTGGCGCTCCGTGCGAGCGTCCTTGAGCAGCGACGTGCCGTAGATCAGGCCGGCGCCCATCATCACGTTTGGTGCCGAGAAGAGGATCGCCATGCCAAGCCCGACGAGCAGAGACACCTGCGGAGGGACTAGGTGAGGTGAGGTGAGGTACGGTAAGCGACTCCACACACACGAGGTGGTGGGGGGCAAGGGCCACGCAGCCCTCGCGACTCCACCTCTAATACAGGAGCCCCACGGCAGGCAGAGTGCAAGGCCCGATGCGCGTGGGTGAGCGCTGTGTATGTGTGTGTGTGTGTGTGTGTGTGTGTGTGTGTGTGTGTGTGTGTGTGTGTGTGTGTGTGTGTGTGTGTGTGTGTGTGTGTGTGTGTGTGTGTGTGTGTGTGTGTGTGTGTGTGTGTGTGTGTGTGTGTGTGTGTGTGTGTGTGTGTGTGTGTGACACAGGAGGCGCTTATGGAAGGTGCATGGTGGGTTCGCGGAGGGTTCGAACGCGACGGGCAGAGGCGCCTTGATGCCCGCGCGCTGCGCCTTGTGCAACGCTGCGTCGTACCGGCTCGCCGACAGCGTCTCGAGGCCGAGCGATGCGACGGTCCGCACGGCGCCAAGCACCTGGCCAAGTTGGAAACGGTGAGAGTGAGAATGGGGAATAATTTAGTGATGCTGAAGAATGGTGATCGCAAGATTAAGTGCCACAGTGAATGCCAGCGCCTGATACGAATGAGAAGGAGGAGGCCAACGCCGCTAAGAATACTAAGAAGAGGAAAGACACTACTAAGAAGAGGAATGGCACTCCTAGACACAGCCAAGGCCCCGCGCACCTCGGTCGCGATCGCGCCCGCCTCGGCGTACCCGTCGACGACGCTCTTTTGCCCGTTTTGCTGCGCGTACCCCATCAGCGCGCCTGCTCGCAGGCGCCTCTTGTGAAGGGGGGGGAGAGTGTGCCTCCTCTCGCGCTGCGCGCTGGACTATGCGCGGGCGGTCGGCGGGCGAGAAGAGCTATTCCGAGTGAGAGTAGCGCGTGGACTTTTCGGCGCACCTCCGAGCAGCACAAGCGGAGAGCAGGCGAGGATGATGAGGGCGACGCGCCACTCGTACCTGCGCGCGGCTGGAGGTGAGGAGGGCACGCGAGGACGAGGGCGAGCGCGACGGCTGCACGTGGAACGGAAGGCCCAGCAAACGACGGCTACTCTCGGGCTTACTCTCGGCTACTCTCGGCTGATCTCGGCTGATCTCGGCTGATCACGGCTGATACTCGTACTTGAAGCAGAGGGCCCAGCCGGTGACGGCCATCGCTAGCCACTCGAAGAGGATGACGGCCTTCGGGAGACCAGCCGAGATTGGGCCGAGAGTAGGCCGAGAGCGGCCACTCGAGGGGGGGGGGGGGGGGGGGAGGCCTTTGGCGACAGCGCCTCCTCAATCGTCTTGAGGCCCTCGCCTGTTCACAGCGGAGCGGCGTGAAGAGACGCCGTTCACAGCGCCTGCGCGGCCGCGTGTGCGGCGCTCGCCGATGCGCGTCGAGAGCTGGAGCGGGCTGTTCGTGTCGTACCAGCCGATGTCCTGTTCACAGGCCGAGTCTGAGTCTGTGGGACCCTGTGAAGAGGCAGCCGGGCTCGTGTGCCAGATATAAGTGTAAGGGTGTCTAGATTATCAGCCGTTCTGCCCGTGCCATGGGGGGTGAGAGACCTGCCGGAGGATGGCCTTGGCGTGGGCGAGCTTATTTCTTGATTACTAGTTATTGATTATCCGTTGTGTATTTCCTGCCGGAGGATGGCCTTGACGTAGGCGAGCTTGTACCGCACCTGTTGCGACAACGGTGGCACTCAGACCCCCGTAGGGTCAATTGAGTGTCTGTAGTGTGTAAACTGTGTTTTGTGAAGCGCGGCGAGGGTGTGAATGCGCGAGCTCCGAATGCGGTGAACGCGGCCCGATCAAGTGAAGAGGTCTGCATCCCGCATGTGCACCTCCCCCCCCATCTGCATCACCCCCATCTAGCGTGCCGCGCGATCATTCGCTCCTTTGCGGTGTCGGTGAGGCCGTTGTAGACCGTACAGAGGATCCACTGGCCGAGGCCGAGCAAGACGAACCAGAACCAGAGCGGCATCTCCCAGCCTGCGGCGTGGAGCGCACCAGGGCTCGGGTCGTGGAGAGGGGGCTTGACGCGCGGTCGTGTGAAGAGGGGACCGCCAGGCTGGTGGCATACGGTGCTTTGCAGCGCAATGAGAGCCCTGCGTGGAGTAGTAGTATCAGCGCTATTGACTTCGAATTGATGTTCTAAGAGCGTACTTTTCCTTACCAGTGCAGTTATGATCACGATTACGATCTTGACTTTCATGCTCTGCCTTAATACTGTGATGCCGCATCTAATCTGGCCGGCTTCCGAGCGAGAAGGTTTCGGGCACCAGCACACCCGTCGCCTGCTCTCGGGCAACCTCGGGTCACCCCGGGCTCGAGGAGGCGGACGCGAGCACGCGCTACACTACGTACATCCGCTCTCGCGCGTCTCTTCTGTTCGAGTGGCTCGGGATGTGTGTCAGGCCGAGTGTGAAAGCAGGGCTTGCGGCGTGTCGTGTCTGTGGGCGTCTGTGAGGCTGCGTTGCCCCAGTGTGACCGTCCCTCCGTCGCTAGCGACCTCGTGAAAGCCTGGTGTTCGGCTTTGAGAGTGCGCCTCTCGTCTCTCTCTATCCACCCCGCCGAGGTGGAGCCCAGCGAGTCGAGCAGCGCGCCGAAGATGAAGAGGATCGAGACCTGCGGAAGAAGGGCGAAGTGCTGATGTCGTTTGCGGAGTCGTGAAGACGATCGGCGCCGCAAGAGATTGCCGGGAAGCGGCTATGCGGCGAGGAGCCGCATCGATCTCTAGGAATAGGGGCTAGGGATTTCCCCGCGTGTTTACGGCCAGAGGCCGGCGGCCGCCAAGCGAGCGGCGGTGGTGTCGTTCGCGTCACCTGCAGAAAGCCGGTCCCGGCGGCGCACGGCACGGCGATGGAGAGGCAGAGGTAGTCGAGCGGCGTCGCAAAGTGAAGGAGCTGGAGCAGCCCGATCTTTGGCTCCTTGCCCTTCTTTGGCGTCTTGCGAGCCGCTGCCGAAGCCTCGCCCTCCGCCTCTGACGCCGTAGCGGCGCGGCCGGTCGCAGGACGCCACGTACGCCTGTCGAGCGCAGGGTCCGCGCGCTGCACAGTGCGCCGCGACTTGCGAGGCATGGCCGTGGAGGCTGGCCGACGGAAGGCAGCGGCGAGTGACCAACCTCGGACTTGCTGTCGGTATGAGGGGTGCGAGGGTGCGAGAAACGTCCGCAAAATAAAGAATTTATGGACCAAAGTCTGCGACTGGGAAATAAAGAAAAGGTGGCGGCGTGCCGTCCTCCCATCCCTCCCTTGGGTTGTCTGTTTTCTTTCTTTCTTTCTGTCGAAATAAAGAAAAATGGACTCGTGTATGTATGTAGAAAAGGACGGCTTTGTCGCATCACCCACACTGCCTAGGTGCCTATATCAAATCTATCAATGGTACTAAAAAATGAACTCGGGGGCACGGGACGCGGCACAAACGGGGCACAAACGCCAGGCTACAAAGACGGGGAGGCACGTAGTGACGCAGGGGAGTCTAGGCGACGGCGGCGTCCTCCGACGCCGCGGCGAGCCTGAGCTCGGTCGCAATCTCTTCCGCCGCCGCGAGCTGCAGCGCGACTGACATGCGCTGGGCCTGCAGCGACAGCCACGACCGCGTCGACCAGCTCGCCTCATCCTCGTGCTGCCGCTTCGAGAGCTTGTTGCGCACCTTGTCCTTCATCTGGTAGAACAGCCGCTTGACCGCGTTGCACCACCCGCCGAAGGTTTCAAACAGGTACATCTGCACGTCGGTGTCCGAGCGCGAGAGGGCGTGCGCGTAGTCCGCCTTCTTGTACGCCACATAGCCGCCGCCGTCGCTCGGCCTGAAGTCGCCGTCCCCGACAGCGCCGCGCTGCTCGAGGCCGAAGACGTCCGCGCTCGTGCCGGGCTCGGTGTTGTCCAACTTCGCAGCTCTGGGGCTCTCTGGATGGATGCGGACATTCAAGACGCTCAGCCCGATCCCCACAGCCAGAGGTCCTCATGCCAGAGGTCCTCGCGTGGCCAGAGGACCTCACAGGGGCAGAGAGTGTCCACTCCCCGCTCGCCCGTGCCGGTCCCCGCAACTTATTAAAGTGCCTTTGGAAGCCTCCTCAAGGTCTCCTGAGGCTCTTGCCAGAGAGGTCTCCAAGGTCCTCACGACCAGCGAGGTCCTCACGAAGGCCCCCGCACGGGGGGTCCCGGGGGGCACCATGATCGTCCGCCAAGGGTCCGGGGTCGCCCAGGCAAGTGGCCCAAATCCGATGAGTTTTCCAGGTGTGAACAGCAGCTGAGAGGTGTGAATTCATCCCGGGCGGGGTGCGGGACGGTAGCCCCGCAGAGAAAGTTTTGCGTGCTGGGGCACTGAGATCGCAGTTTTCGTTAGTCCACGGCGGATGCCAGCGGCAGCTGTTTCGAAGATTCGCGGTGCCGCATTTGAGCATGAATCAGCGACCTTTCTGCTGGCATCACGCATAAGAGAAGCCGAGAGGCACGAGGTCCTCCAATTTGCCGGATCAGCAGCGCGGTCTGGAGCGTGGTTGTGGCGTATGCATTTGCCCCCGCAGTCTGAATGGACCACGCTCGAGCTCATACTGCGCTCTGTGCAGCCTGTTTAAGCAGTGAACGAGTTCGGCGAAGTTGCGCCACCACTATCGTTGTCGTTCCTGCCACGCACACCGTAGGCTGCGGTAGTGCGTCTCCAGCCATGTCTACTAAGGATGGCTGCCGTGTGTGTGTTGCAGCCATCGGGCTGAAGGATGTGGCTGCACTGCAGCTAGCTCTCAGCCATCCTTAGGTAAGATGGCTGTGAAGGAGCCAGCACAGCCATTCTGGTGTTACATTCCGAGGTTAGCCACAACTGTCGACGTCACGCAGAAAAACATGTGTGTGTCCTAGAATACGTTCCCCATGGACGCAGCAGCCCTCACATGCAGCGCTGTCCGCACGGGGCGAACAGGTGAGACGTCTCTGTCTCACGGGTGTTTCGTCCCTGTCTCAACGCTGTGCCACAAATGCGTCTCAGTAATGTCTCACGGACTCTCACCGATCTCTGCGTTGTAAGGATGTCACACACACGGCACAGTCACCTTCAGAGACGTGTTTGAGACACCAGTGAGACAAATGTTCACCCCTGCTGTGTGACACTGTCGTCTCTACTACGTCTCGTCATTTCATCTCAGAGCGTCTCACACTCGTCTCACGGTGAACAAGCGGCAATCCTCGCGAGGGGGGTCCCAGGGGGGGGTCGAGCATTCCCATCCCCACATCGTAAGCAAACCCCGACAAATCCACACGACACGCCTCGTTTCGTCTGAAGGCAGCTTTCCGCTGCCTCTCGCGCTTGCCCCGCCGTACCGCGCCGCCGATGAGCCGCAAGCTACACGCCTGGATCCCCGCGACGCCTATTGCTCACCCCACCCCGCCCGCACCGCTCCCGCCGTGCGATGCGCTCTCGCTCGACGGCGCCCCTCAGCCTCGCACTGCCTGCTCCCTCCCGCTCGCAGGCGCCGCTGCCATTGAGGAGCTGCTGTCCATTCGCCACCCTTGCCCCGCGTTAGCCCGCACATGCGCATCCCATTTTATGCTACTGACGCTCGCTCGCCGTCGCCTGCGCGCCCGCAGATCCAAAACAACGTGAGCGAGGGGAGCCGCCGCGGCAGCTTGCGAGCTGGACCTCGAGCTGTGAACGCTGCGAGTAGGCGCGGCCCTCCTGAGCCCCCCTTTCTCTCCATTCCCTCTCAAAGATCGCTCTCTCAGCAGCACTTGATGGCCCAAACATGATGCGCTGCAATCAGCCGAGCAATCCAGCCGAGTGAGATTGCCCGTGATTGCCCGAGATCGCTTCCGGGATCAGCATGGCACTTCCGCACCTCGTTGTGGAGGCGCTCTAGCGCTCGCGGGCTGCACGCCGTGGGGTACCGCGCAGCCCGCCTCCTTCTCTCCGCCCTCTCTCCCCGCGCAAGAGAGCGACCCTGTCCCGCTCTCGCGCGAGCGTCGCCCGGCTACAGTCCGAGAGACGTAGCAGCGAGTGCCGGTACTCATCGAGACGCGAGCTGACGCCTCCTTCTCTCTGCCCTCTCTCCCGGCGCAAGAGACAGTAACCAGTAATAATGCGCAGTAGTCCGCAGTAATACTCTGCACAGTCTCCATTAACCAGAGAGTAGTAATGCGCAGTAGTACTCTGCACAGAGTAGCCAACAGTGCGCGGTAGTACTCTGCACAGTGTCCAGTAACCAGTAATAATGCAGTACTCTGCAGTCTGCAGTAGTCGTGTAGTCTGCAGTCTCCAGTAACCATCAGTAATGCGCATTAGTACTTTGCACAGTCTCCAGTAACCAGTAATAATGCGCAGTAGTACTCTGCAGTGGTCCGCAGTCTCCACCGAGACGAATGATGACATGTGATGACCAAGATGAATGCTCCCTCCCCCCGCACCCCGCCAGACGAGGGTTAAGTATCTGACGCTCACCATCCACCCCTCATAGGTAGCACCCTCCCCCCGCACCCCGCCAGACGAGGGTTAAGTATCTGACGCTCACCATCCACCCCTCATAGGTACGAGTGAACTCGATCAATATCACATGTCCGAGAACGAGGCACTGATGGTCGGCATCATGTCGGCCGAAGACGGCAGCATCAAGGTCGTCATCTCCGCGCCGAAGTCGCCTCCGCTCCTCGGAGCCAAGACGGTGCGATAAGTGTGCGCATGTCGCAGACCTCCAATCGCCTCCCATGTCATGCCCCCCATCTCCATCTTCCACAGGCGTGCGGCGCGAAGGGCGTCCCAATCACGGACGGCACCGCGGGGTCACGCACCTCCGCGGCGGTGCTCGACGAGGGACCGGGCTACGTGGTCGGCGTCGAGGCCGAAGTCCGCCGGCTGGGCGAGAGCGTCGTCTACCAGGCTACGCCCGCCGACGGCAAGAAGTCGCCGTCGCCGGGAGTCCCCACATCCGGCGGCATTGCGCCCGTGGCGCCCAAGCCCCTTGGCGCGGTCGCGGGCGCGGGGCAGGCCGACGCCGCGTCACGCGAGTACTATCTCGCCGTGCGCGACAAGGCGATGGCCGCGATCTTGCTCACCAAGATACAGCGTGCGAAGCTGGACGCCGAGCGGTCGGGGTGCGGGTGCAAGTGCCGGCGCAAGGCCATGCGCTGCCGCAACAACCCCAAGTTTGGCAAGGCAAAGGGCAGGCGCAAGTCTGGCAAGGCAAAGGGCCGCGGCCGCGGCCGCGGCCGCCGCCCGAACTGGCGCCGCGAGCCGCAGACCACGTCCGGCAAGGCGTCATTCGCCGCTGGCACGTGCGGCGCCGGCGCTGGCACATGCGGCGCCGTCGCTGGCACATGCGGCGCCGGCGGTCGTGCCGGCCTCAAGGCGGCGGCCAACTGCGTGCAGGGCGGCTACACGAAGGCCGAGGGCGCCTTCCGGTGGCTGCTCCTCGTCTGCATGCCCGCCTTTGGCCACTGCGCGCCCGCCGTGCCTAGCCCGGCGGCGGTGGCCTCGGCCTTCTCGTCTGCCGTCGCCTCGGCGTCCTCTACCTTCTCATCCGGCGTCGCCTCGGCGGCGTCCTCGGCCTTCTCGCCCGCCGTCGCCTCGAAGGCGGCCTCGCTCGTGAGCTGCTCGCCGTTTCTCATGCCCGCCCTCGTGGTCATCCTCCTCGCCATCGCCTGCGGCGCCTCCTGGCCGACCGCGGCGAGCGGAAAGGGGGCTCGGCGCGGCGTGGCGTGGGCCGTCTGCGTCGCCGCCGCCGCGGCGTGCCTCCCCGGCGCAGCAGCGGCTCCCGTGGAATCCCGCTCGCAGGTGCGGCCACTCACCACCATCGAGGAGCTGTGAGACGCATGCGATGCCGCCCACTCACCAGCCTTGCCGCGCGCCAGCCCGCTTCCGACGCTCTGCCCTCTCCCCCATATACCCCCCCATACTTCTTCATAGCAGTGTTTGACCCTCTTTCACGTGCTCCGGTAAGACTACTCCGAGTAATATGCAATAGCCAACAGTTCTGAGTAACCAGTAATATGCAGTAGTGCTCCGCAGTAGTCCGCAGTAGTCCCCAGACGAGTAATAACGCGCAGTAGTACTCTGCAGCATAGTCTCCAGTAACCAGAAATGATGCGCCGTAGTACTCCGTAGTCCGTAGTCCCCATTAATGCGCCCGAGATGTGTGTGTTTGTGTGTGTGTGTGTGTGTGTGTGTGTGTGTGTGTTTTGACGGGAGGGGTGCGGGGTTTGTTAGTTGAGGGGGAGTTGATTGTTGCACCTTGATTGTTAGGACATCCTTTCGAGCGTTTCGCTTTCGAGCGCTTCGCTGCCGCTCGTCGCCGTCGCCGTCGCCGTCGTCGCTGCCGCCGTCGCTGCGTTGCTGCGCCGCAAGTCAAAGTCTACTGACGCAGACGCGCCCTCGCCGCCGCCGTCGCCGCCCGAACCAACCGTCGTGCCCGAACCCGAAGCGCCGGTGCGGCGCGGTGGCTCTTTCCTGGATCTGAACGTTCTGAGCTGCGCTGGGCCTGGGAAGCCCGGCCCGCGCGGTCCGAAAGGAGACCAGGGTTCTCCCGGCCAAGATGGCCACGACGGCCATGACGGCCACGACGGCCCACCGGGGCCTCCCGGCCCCGGGCCGCGTCCGGCGATGATGGCGGTAATCTGCAACGCAATTACCGCCTCCTCCGTGCTGTCGATCGTGGCCATCGTGCTGTCGATCATAGCCATCACCCGTTCGCCGACTCCTCCCCCGCCGCCGCTACCTCCGTTTCTTTCGCCTCCGCCGCCACCGCCGCCACCGCCGCCGCCGCCTCCGTTTCTTTCGCCTCCGTTTCTGCCGCCGTCGCCGCAACCGCCGCCGCCGCGTCCTCCGCCCGAGTACAACGTCTGCTCGCCCGACCCGGAGCTGCTCGTGTGGGACGATCCGCCCGACTGGACCGTCGATCCTGGCCGCCGAAAAGTTCAAGTGGGCTGGCTCAAGGTGCCGATTCTGCACCAACAGCCGAGCCTTGAACAGCTCGGCATTCCTCTCGGCGACACCGCACTTCGCGTGACTTTGGAGTTGGCCACCGACCCGGACACAAACGAGGAAATTTGCTCACACAACGCGAAGCCACTTTTCACGCACTGCGGCGGACCAGGCTCCGTGAACGATTGCATGGTCGGAAAAGCGCCCGTGCGCAAACTGCTCAATAGCGGCCAGTACCACCACCTCGCGATCGCTCAGCGCGGGATCGATCCCAAGGATGCTTTCAACTATGTGAAGGAGAATCCTCCCGGTTACAAATTCGGCCCCCTTCCCGACAAATGGGTCCAGGAGGGGGTGGAGCGCTTCCCGTACATCTACTGCCATAATGCATTTGATATCCGCGTGATGAATGAGGTGAAGGCGGCGTATCTGGCGGCAGGATTGAACTGGGAGTCTGTCTGGGAAAACCCTGAATACGTGCAATCTGGGGTAGCCTTTGCAGACCCCGGACTTACCAAGGTGTCGTCATACTAGAAGCGCCGAGATAGTCACGCTGGCAGCGCCACACAATCTGCCTTTATTCCCTACCACGCAGGTGTTCGCCGAGCTCCAGAACGCGGCGATGTCCGAGTGCCGCAGGCGGCCTGAGTATCACCTTGGGACAAACTTCGCTCGCGGCACCATGGTCTACCAGGACTTTATGGGCACGCAGGACTTGGCCCATGATCTCGACACCCTTCGCACGGCCATCGGCGCGGATAAGCTGTCCGTCTGGGGCGTCTCTTACGGCACAGAAGTGGGCGCAACCTACGCGACGGTGTACCCGGAGCGGGTCGACAAAGTGATCCTGGATGGAAATGTCGCGATATCGAATGAGATCTACGAGGCTGCGCACCTCTGGGCTCTCAGCTACGAACAAGTTTGGAACGGACTCGCGGCAGCTTGCAACAACGATTTCTTTGTGGCCGGCGGCATCGACGCCCCTACCCTCCCCGCCGATGACTTTTGCGCGGCGACGCCATATCCAACGGACAAAATGAGCAAGCTCCTGGAGACAGACGAAACGCTTTTGTTGATGGCTTATACTCTCCTCGGAAAATTCTTCGAGGACTACGGAATTATGTGGAAGGGTGTCTCTCCCGGCAGCGCGATCATGATGGCGTGCGTCGAGTCCCTCCACAAGAACGGGGACTTCGACGGGGAGGGCTGTTGCGACTACCAGCCCGAAAAGAAATGTTGCAACGGTAAGATTCAAATTCCAGCCAACTCAAACACCACTTTTCAAGAAATGGAGGATGGAAATCCCACTGTCGCGCTGGTTCGCTCCGTCGACATGGCAGGACGACTCAGCACCGCGGACATTGCACGCCTCTGGGCCGACCTCAGGGACAAACACCCGATCGGGTTCCTTCGCGCAAACGGTATCATCAGCATCGTCTCGGCGCCCAACCTGCCACGCCCGGTGCCTTCTTACGGATCGGGGCTGGACAAGCTGAAGCCTCTCATCATCGGCGACTTTCACGACCCCGCTACGACGTACACGGCTTCGCAGGACATGCGAGACAAGTTTCCCAACGGCGCGCTGATGAGCTGGCAGGGCTACCACCACGGCCTCTTTGACGATGGCGACTTTGGCTTGTCCGACTACACCTCCTACACGTTCCAGAGCGAGGGTTACGGCGCGAAGGATTGCTACGACAGGATGTTGAACTATCTCGAGGATGGCACGCTCCCACCGAACGGCTACACGTGCCCGATCAATGGCCCAGCCGCAGGCTCTCTCAGCCTGAAGGTTGCAAAGCAGGTGCCCACGTGCCCGCCGGCCAATGCCCCATCGCCTTAACCGGCAGGGCCAATGATCCACTCAGGGTCATCAGGCGAAAAATGGAACCCAGGAGTGAACGTACGAAGGATGCTAGTGCAACGCGAGCACGACCAAGCAAGGCGCGCATGTAATTTGCAGATCGATCATCCGACCACCCCTGCATGCGCGGGCCTTGATCCGGTGCCGCTGAACGGCATTGGGCCAATCCTTGAGTGAGCGCTGAACACTGACTGTGCGTGAGGGAAGGTCGGTATTTGGAATGAGTGAGCCGTGTCTGATTGTGGCAGTCTGGTCTAGCGTGCGTGCAGCGATGGCTCGGAGCGTAGGTTAGCGCTCTGAGCCACGGCCTGTGGCCGGCTCTATTCCGGTACGGGCCCGCAGCGCTGTCAGCCTACGTCTCTGGACTGCCCTCTGCCGTCGCCATAGTTGCGTGATCATTTGGCTAGTTCCAGTTCTCACTCTGACACTTTAAAATCTTGAAAACGCGCGCACAAAGATCGCACGGCCACGGGGCGGCGGGGACCTGTTTTATATTATACCAAAAGGAGGGCTCCACTACGCCTTCTACACAAACGGGCGCAGCGTCGACCACGAGTGCAACCAGCCCGATTCCAAGATATTTGCGTCTTACAGCAAGGCAGAGGCACCGGAACAGTTGGGGGAGTTTGCCATCGATCTGTTGCGCAAGACAGATGCGGACATCGTGCCAGGTGAATAGGTAAGGTAAGGTAAGGTAAACTTCTCCACACACACGAGGTGGTGGCGCAAGGGGGGGCAACCCTCGCGTCTCCACGTCTAACGACAGGAGCCCCACGGCATTCAAAGTGCAAGGCCCGTTGCGCGTGGGTGAGCGGTGTGTGTGTGTGTGTGTGTGTGTGTGTGTGTGTGTGTGTGTGTGTGTGTGTGTGTGTGTGTGTGTGTGTGTGTGTGTGTGTGTGTGTGTGTGTGTGTGTGTGTGTGTGTGTGTGTGTGTGTGTGTGTGTGTGTGTGTGTGTGTGTGTGTGTCACGTCACTGCATCCTCTGCCGGTTCCTCCCGTCGCCTCTTCTTTGTTCGAATGTTTTTCAATCCATCCTTCACGAAGCCCTCCCATGTAGCTAGCGTTCTTTGCGAATGTCTCGAAATGGCCAGCAGGCGCTGTCTGCTCGCGGCCTGTGCGGGCTGCTCGTCCTCCTCGCCCTTCTTTCGTCCTCCCGTCCCTCCCCTCCACCATGGCCTCCTCGGCACTTCTTTCTCCATCCGCCTCGCCCTGCCTTTTCGTATCGTGCCGTTCGCCCTCCATTCGGTGACCTCCATGGCTGTCCGCCTCCTTTTGGGTGGCGCTCTCGATACCGTTGCGTCAACCTCGACGTCGCTGTCGCCCTCCCCGTCCCCGCCGTCGCCCGTGCCTCGGTTCGCGTCTTCGGTAGCGCCTCCGTTGTTCCCTCGTGCTCCGCCGTCGCCCTCTCTGCTCGGGCCGTTCGCGATTTCGCTCCTCCTGCGTGTCGCCCCTCCGTCTCCTCCCCTGCCTTCGTCGTCATCGTCGCTGTCGCGAAAGCCCTCCGGTCCCTCGATTCCCTCGTCTATCCCCTCCGCTGCGTCGTCCCAGTTTATATCCTCATCCTCTGTGCGCGTTGTCGTTCCCTCCCCTTCTCCATCGTTGTCGCCTCCGTCGACTGTGGCGCTGCCTCTTCCCTCGCCTCCGTCCTCCTCGTCTCGCCTGCCATCGTCCCGTGTCTCCTCGTCCTCGCCCTCGCCTTGGCCGTTGTCTACCTGTTCATCGTGTCCCCTGCTGCTGGTGGCATCGCCGTTGGCTTCCTCTCTCACCCTTTCCTCCCTGCCCCTCTCGCTGTCTGGTGTTAATGGACCCCCTTCCTCTCCCTCGCCACCGTCACCGTCACCATCCCCGTCGCTACCGCCCTCCGTCCCCGCTGCCCTTTGTCTCACACTCGTCTCTGCCATGTCCGCCGCCGCCGCCGTCCTGTCTGCTGCGCTCTGTGCTCCGAGGTACAGCCGCTTATTGTTGCTCAGGATTAGCTCACGCACCAGGACAGCCTCCTGCTCGTTACTTTGGCTTGCCGATATGCATCCAAAGTTCCACGCTAGCTCCTCCTTCGTCACGTCTATCTTTTTGCAGTATCTCGCAAATGCCGTCCGAGCTTGCTGGGGTGTTATTGCGTGTTCGGATCCGCCTTCGTCCCCGCCTTGTATCCAGGTGAATACTGGACGGACTATAAAAAGTTCAATGACAGTATCCTCAATCTGGGTTACACCGCCTTCGCCAAGTTTATCAACTACACGTGCGGCGAGGAAGGCATACAGACGTCATCGTGCAACAACGTGTGCGTCTGCGTGCCGAACTCAATGCTGGGCTCGCAATCGCCGCAGCCCTCAGGCGACTGCGGCGACTATCTTCTGCAGCAGCAACACCTGCAGCGATTACGATGATACGTGCCCGACATACGGGCCCATCGGCTCAGCCGTCGCCGCGACAGACTACGACAGCGCCGGCTACGTCTGCTGCTGCAACGAACGAACGAGTAATGGCACGGTGTGTGGCGAGATAAACCTGGTTTGTGGAGCTCCCGCACCTGTCTAGACAGTCCTGAGCTTGTCCAGACAGTGTCCAGACAGCGTCCAGACAGCGTCCAGACAGCGTCCAGACAGCGTCCAGACAGCGGCACATGGCTCCACTCTTCACAGTAAAGTCTCGCAGTCGTGGCCGGACGACCCCTGACAGCACCCCTGCCGAGGCCACTCCCCACCCACCCACCCACCCACCCACCCATCCACACAAACAAATCGCGGTTTCTACCACGACGCGATCTTTGTCAAGCGCAACAACTTCAACCTGCTGCTCCACGAGACGTTCGGCGGCGGCTTCTCGCCCACCGCCGTTCTCAAGCTGCGCCGCCTCGCACGCAAAGTCGCGCGCGGCAGCGTTGACCGCACGGCCTACTCGCCCAAGTACTCGCTCTCTTTTATGTCCCACCATGCAGAGCGCATCTCTCTCTCTGTTGTGCGAGGCGTGAACCGCGCCATTCGCTCTCACCTGGCAACCCTGTCTGCACGTCTCGCGCGCGCGTGAACAGGGCTCCAGGCCCCAAATTACGTGTGAGTGTTAGAGTTGTTTGGTATTGCTAAAAATCTCTCTCCCATCCACACGCCGCTTTCTTTACTTGCCATTGAGGGGGGGGGGGGGGGTGCGTCTAGACAGCAGAACTAAGAGAACTTGAGAACTTGAAGTTTGAACTTGTAGTTTT